TCTACATTGATTTATTGCACTTTTATGGTGAAATTTTCGATCGAGTGGGAGCATTCGAATCGGCTTCTCAGCACAGATGTGGCATTTTCTATCTCGGGCTCATTAGTTTAAACACAGCTATTGTTGTATATCCAGTTTTATTTTAATCTGTCTGCTTGAGCAGTCTGATGTGCACATCATAGTGCTTAAAGCAAAAGCTACTTTGCAGCACTCCCTGCTGTGGTGCTCCTAGATGTGGAGATGTGACCATTTGCCCTCTGCACCGCATCTTGCTTTTCTCTCTCACTTCCTCATGCACACTCACCAGAAACAGATCCTCACTGAGACTCAGAAACACATCATTATTTAGTCATACATTTCAAACTACTGTATTACTTGAACTATGATGATTAAAGGTAGCCCTGACAAAAATGCAAAAAATTGTATATACATGAAAAACTGCGATAAAGCACCATGAAAGAGTTTACCGGTATATGAAAATCTCATCACGACCTATTGATCCACAACATGAGCCTTTTTTAACACTATGTAATCCAATAATACTAAACGAACAAAAAAAAAACGACTGTACAACTTTTTTTGATTAAAAATGTTTAAATACTAACAAACACTAACTGAAGTAAAACCAAATCTCAAAACCAAAACTCAGAACAAAAACAAAACTAATATGAACAAGATGACAACTCAACGATATTTTCACACAAAAGTTCCAAACATTTCACCTCGACAAAGAAAAACTGAATTTGAGCAATCTTGAAAGAGGTGCATAGAATTCAGTCATCTTTGGAGCATGACGTGATGTAGCCTGCTCAGATGAGAGGCCAAAGCTTCATTGATCACTGCTCATCTCAATAACACACTTGTGATTCTTAGCCTGATACTTCCATGAGAAGCTCAGGTCACAAATTGAGCAGGAAGTTTTTTTCACCAGTGTGTCTTTTTTTGTGACGCTTTAAAGACATCTTGTGAGAGAACCTTTGGCCACAAACTACACAGGCAAATGGTTTCACACCCGTGTGTGTTCTTTTATGAACATTTAAGATTCCTTTCAGAGAGAATCTTTGTCACAAACTGCAGGAAAAAAGGTTTCTCACCAGTGTGGTTTCTTGTGTGTCTTTTTAAGTATGCCTTTTTGGAGAATCTTCTACCACAGACTGAGCAAGAAAAATGTTTCTCACCAGTGTGTGTACTCGTATGACGTTTTAAACCTTACCAAAGAATCAGACCGGCTTGTGACTGCGGCAAGCACTGGAATATAGATGGAAACATACCCAAGGGTCCTGGACAACACATCTGATGTCCGTTTAATTCCGGAAGTTTACTTTCAAAAACGTCATTATTATTATTATTTTTTTTTTTTTTGCCAAATTCTACATGAATTTATCCAAATTTATGCATGAGAAACCAACTGCTATTGTTTTAAAAACATCGACATTGTCTGTACAAAACAAAAGGCTACGAAAACATATAATTTACAAACTTTAAAATTGAGTGTTTACACTACATCTTCTTCTGTATTTCATTTTATTTTTATACTTGTTGTCACTAACCTCCCTGGTGCGTTTTGTGATTTTGGATACCATTTCTATACTTGAATATTTACCTGTTTTATTCTTTTAGTTTCAATAAAGTTTATTTGAAAAAAAAACAGGTTTACAGATGACGTTTAAATTAAATGTGAGGATATAACCTTTCATTCATTCATTCATCTTCCGAACCGCTTTATCCTCACTAGGGTCGCGGAGGGTGCTGGAGCCTATCCCAGCTGTCTTTGGGCAGTCGGCAGGGACACCCTGACTGAACCGGTTGCCAGCCAGTTGCAGGGCACACAGAGACGAATAACCATCGGCGCTCACACTCACATCTCGGGACAAATCAGAGTGTTGAATCAGCCTGCCATGCATGTTTTTGGAATGTGGAAGGCCGGAGCCGGGATCAAACCCACGATATCTGCATTGTCAGTTCGACGTGCTAAACAATGGTCCACCGGGCCGCCCTGACTCAGTTTGTGAACGATAAATAATTTAAAAAAACAAAACAAACTGTTGCGTGTGCCGAACCGAGTCACTTCTGCACTGAACAGAAACAGTTGAACCAAAGTTTTTTATGGTTTTCCCCCCAAAAATAATCAATAAAAATAATACCACACCTAATACTGTGTACTGTATATATGACATCAAGAGCCATGGGGCGAGATGGCTCAGACGGTTTCGTGGTCCTCTCCCCTCGGGAAGCTTGCGGTTTTGATCCTCAGCCCTTGTGACCAAGTGCCCTTGAGCAAGATACTGAAGCCCCTCCACTCAATTGTTTCTGATGCCGCATCATCCGAGGAGTCGGCGTCAAAGCGCTTCGAGTGCCTTGGGTAGAATCGCGCTTTATAAGAAAAAGTGCATTTACCGTGAATTAAAAATGTGATTGACACACAGAGTAGGAAATGTTTGCAAGCAACAATGAATTAACATAAAATAATCATGTGTTTTTTCTATACAATACATTCGTGAGAAATTATTTGTTTTGCATCCAGTGTGAATTTGACCTCTCCAACAAATTCCTCACAAACGACCCGTATCTTGTGTTGGATCATAACAGGGCTGAAGAATATGGCGTCCCGGACCAAGCACATAAAGTAAACTGGGGCGAAGCGCTGTCACATTGTGTTGTGCATGAGTTCCATTCATACGGACTTCCCAACTGTGAAACTGAATGTCAGTGAGGGACGAGAGCACCTGTACTGGAAAATGAAGTGTATATTCTGCCCACATTTTGTCTTCCTGTATAACTTTCCCATGCCCGCAGCGTAACTCGGCGTCCTTATCACTTAAAATTGGAACACTCCCTCCTGGAGTCCTTGTAGGGACGCACAGACATCGGGATGCACCAATTGATACAAGCTAAGAAACGGTTTCGGGGAAACTAAAGTTCTGATGTCACACCTTGAATTTCCGCCCTTTTGATGATATAAATAAGTTGTAATCCCTTCCGTCTTTGCACTCGTGACCACCGCAGCCATTGTCTGTCAACCGCGGGTGCCCGGAATATTCTCCAAATAAACCCTTCGAAGGTACTGTTCATCGACTCCAGTCTGTATTTGGATAACCGACATCCTCCTCGTCCAAAATTCAACGAACATGCGGGGGAAAGAAGTCCACTTTGCCCCCAACAACTACGAATGCAGGTGAAAAGAAGTTTGTCAAGTTTCGGGTGGTTTGTGACATGAATGGATGTAACTATGTGTAAACATTGAACGGACACAAATGTCAGATCATTTTTATGCCGCATCCACTTTCAGGTGGACCGCGGTCTGGAAGGTTCCGTCGTGGTTGGGGAGGGTCTCCCCCATCTCCACGTCCTCGTGGATCACCTCGCTGTCCTTCCTCCAAAAAAGGGCCGATGCACTGGGGTAGGAACTCGTCGCGTGGCAGGTGACGGGAGAGGAGGGCATCTTCTGGAGGAGAGACACCGTGGGAAGCTCTGCAAACCGAGGCAAAGATGGAGAGAACAATTGAGGACAAAAGAGGATGAGAATGAGCGAGGGGATGAAAGATTAAGAGAACATGCGAGAGGACTAAGGATGGAGAGAAAGTGTGAGAATTTATGGAATAGAAATGTGGGAGGATAAATTATGTAGAGGTGTGAGAGGACGAAATAGGGAAAGGATGAACAAGAGGATGAAAGTCAGAGAATGTGTGAGGGCAAAAGATGACCAGAAAACAAAAGCATGAAGATGGAGAGAAAGTGAGGACAAAAGTCGGAGAAAATGCACAGTAGCTTGAAAGATGGAGAAAATGTGAGACAACAAAACCTTATCTCTATCTATATTTATATTGCACTTAACCACATAACATCTGCGTTACATCAAATGACCAGCAGATGTCATCACAACTAAATGAGCTATTAAATGAGGCCCCGACTAATCAGCCGTTTGGCGAAGCAATTGGCCTAAAAGACAATACAGTACATTGACGGGGCTTCATCCCGCCATCACTAGTA